TTCTTTTTGTTAGCTAAATCTTATTATTCTGAAATGAACATGCTTTGCCAGTGTAATTTTTTTTTTTTTTTTTTTTTTTTTGCCTTTTTGTCTTTTTTCGTGACCGGTAACGGGATCGCAACCCTCAGTGTTGTGCCCGTACCGCAACCGGCAACGGGATCACAACCCTCGGTGTCGTGCCCGCACCGCGCTCAACCAGTGAGCAGACCGGTCTGTATATGGGATCCGAACCCTTGGCGGGAGCGCCGCCACACTCCCAAGCGCCGCACTCTACCGAGTGTGCCACCGGGCTGGCCCAACCAGTGTAATTTTTTAAATTAAAAATAATATTTTAAGGTTTGCATCTATTATATATTTTCTTCTGGAAATACGTGAAAATAATTGGTGAAAATATCTTATGGCATTTGTTCTCACTATACTTCAGTGAAATTAGAGAAAAAAGTATCTTCTTTTGCATATGGAGAGACTCAGGACAGTATTTGTGCCTTATGTAAGTGTTGTGGTCAGCAGTTGAATAAGAGCTAAAATCTAGATCCACTATTTAGTATACTAGATTAGTGATCCTTAAATTATGAAAGTGAGCAGGTTCAAAAAAAGTTAAAATGTAGAGTTTTTAGAAATGCATTTTCCGCTGTGGATTTCAACTAAATTGGACAGTGTGAAAACAAACATTAAAGTGATCAGAAACAGATATGCAGAAGTGAGGTTTCAGTCCTCAGATCTGCAGAGTCGGAACCTTGGAAAGTATTGCCCCAGCTTCTGTATGGCCAAAAAGCTTCCCTGGGGATTCTGATGTTGAATCTACTCTGAAAGCTGCCGTGTGATAGTTCCTTAGGGAAGTCAGTGCGTTGCCAATTGTTGACTCCCTTTATCGCCTGACTTTTAATCATGTATGTTGGAGTATTTCGTTGTTTTGTTTGACTCTATTTTTCCCCCCCTTTTCATATGTGTAGGGCAGATTTAGTTCATAACTTAAACATTTTAATCTGAAAATTTAACTTTAGTCCCAAAGTATTTGTGTTTTTTTTGAGGGGGGAGTTAGGGGCAGCTGGCCAGTAGGGAGATCTGAACCCTTGACCTTGTTGCTATAATACCACGCTCTAATCAACTGAGCTGACTGGTCAGCCCCCAGAGTATTTGTTTACTGGCATTATTGACAAAGGGTGTTTTGGTTGAAAGAATGTTTTGGAGTTTTTGTTTGATTAATTAAAATCTAACTAAGTGCTCCTAAATTTTTTTATTTGCAGAAAAGTCTCTTAAGTTATGTGGCACCAAGGAGATGCTCCTTCTTAGTATTACAACTGCTTATACAGGTAATGGAATTACTCTTTTGATTTTCTTTTGCTGCATGACAATAAGGGCTGAAAACAATAGCCATGTTATTATTTCTCACAGTTCTGTGCATTGACTGGGCTCAGCTGGATGGTTTTTCTGATGGTGTCACTTGGAGTCTCTTGTGGCTGCTGTGAGAAGGTGGCTGGGGCTAGGGAACTTCCAAGATAGTTTCATTCGCATGTCTGGAGTCTTTTTTTTTTTTTTTAAAAGATGACCGGTAAGGGGATCTCAACCCTTGGCTTGGTGTTGTCAGCACCACGCTCAGCCAGCGAGCAAACCGGCCATCCCTATATAGGATTCGAACCCGTGGCCTTGGTGTTATCAGCACCGCACTCTACCGAGTGAGCCACGGGCCGGCCTGCATGTCTGGAGTCTTGATGGGGTCAGACGAAGGGCTGGATCTTTCTCTTTCTCCAGGTAGTCTCAGGGCCTCTGCCCATCTGCCTGACCCCATGCAGGAGAGCCAGACTTCTTAGTGGCTAAAGGCTCCAAAAAGGGCTGCAGGAGAAACTGCCAGACCTTCTTTAAGCTTAGGTCTGGAGCTATCCCAGCATTACTTCTACTGCATTCTGTTGTTGGCAGCTCATCACAGGGCCAGCCAAGATTCAGTGTGGGAGCATCTGCACAGAGCAGGAAAACCAGGAGAGTGGCTCGTTGGGACCAGTGATTTTAGGGCAACACGGAGAACTACAGAGAATAACTGCGAACAAATCTCTGTAACTTCATGTGGATGAAGATAATTTCTAGTGACATAGAAGCATGTGATAATGAGATGTGGTAACGGGTAGAGCACCATTAGGTCTTAAGAATGACAAGGAAATCCATTTCCTCTTAAAAAGTGCTGTGACGTGCCAGTTACTACTTTTGCCTTTATGTGCCTCATAAGTATAATATCTTCTTTTTAGGAGAAATAGAATAACCATTAAATATTTAAAATTCTCAGTTAAGGTTTTGTAGCATTAAGGAATCAAGGTCTTCTACTGATTTACCTTAATTTTTTACCCTAATCTTAGGAATTTTTTTTTCCTAGAAAAAAAGGGTTCAATTAAAACATTACTGTGCGTTTAACCAATAGTGGATAGTATATATTGGTTTTCCAGTACAATAAGAATACAATCCAATAGGGATATGGATGTTCCTGTCATCTTGGAAAGCTGTTTATCAGGATAATGAGCACTTCAGTCTTCACTATTACAAACTTATGTTAATTACGTCCTCTGCCCATCCCCTGCTTGTGTACAGAGTGACAGATTTCAACATAAGGATTTCTGTCTATTTGAGTTGTATGTTTTCATCTGAACTATATGGCAACTGCTGTCTTGTGGTGTCTTAGTTTGAGCTGCTATAGCAAATTACCATAGACAGGGTGGCTTAAACAGCAGACATACATTCCTCCCAGTTCTGGAGGCTAGGAAGTCAGGGTGCTAGCACAGTTGGGTTCTGGTGAGGGCCATTTTCCTGGTTTGTAGATGGCCTTCTTCTTTCTGTGTCCTCACATGGCTGAGAGAAAAGAAGCAAGTTCTCTGGTGGCTCTTCTGCATGCACTAATCCCATCATAAGGGTTCTGCCCTCATGACCTAATTGCCTCCCAAAGGCCCATCTCCAAATACCATCATGTTTTGGGTATTAGAGTTTCAACATATGAATTTTGGGGGTACACAAACATTCAGTCCATAGAGTGTGGCTAATTCCATCTTGTGAGTTATATAGCATAAAATTTTGCTGTGCTTGGGGAGCTGTGTTTCAGTCTGAGTTTTATGCTTTTGTGTTGTACAGATATAGCTCAAATACTACTAGACATGAAGAAAAAATAGGAAAAGGAGAATGTGAAAGTATAATTAAATTAAATGTGATTTTTTTCCTAAAGGTCTGGAATTGACTTTTATCTCTGGTGTTTATGGAACCTGTATTGGTGCTGTAAATAAATTTGGAACAGAAGAGAAAAGCCTCATTGGACTTTCTGGCATTTTCATTGGCATTGGCGAAATTTTAGGTTGGTTTAAAAAAAAAATCTTTGCATTAAAAATATCAGTTTCTTATAGTTAAAATAGAAATTTTAAGTGTATTTCACCTTTCTATCCTTGAATTTCTGTTTTCCCTGCTTATTTTTACCCAAACAGGTATGTTTTTGCTTTTCTGTTATTCTAAGATAACTAAATTATAACACATTTGCCATTTTCACAGATGGAAATAAGCAAACATATGGTCTCTCCCAACTTTGTTCCTTAAAAATCTTAGGAAGAGTTGTCTTGGGATCCCCAGTCTTCTTGTTCTCTGACACCAACTAGGTATCTAACAATTCAATCCTATTTTGATACTAACTATCACAGAGTTAGTGTCAAGCTCCACAGGATTAAGGGTTCAGCACCACAGACTCCCTCACTTCAGGTGCTGATCGAAAGTCCTGGGTCCCCAGGCTGCCTGCACTTCTATCTAACTTGTCTACAGATTTGGAGGTTCCCACAACCCCCCTTCCCCTTTCGGTTCTATAATTTGCTAAAACAAATTTACAGAACTCAGGAAAATGCTACACTTGTTACTACAGTTTATTAAAAAGGGTACAAATAAACAGTCAGATGAAGAGGTACATAGGGCAAGGTATGAAAGAGTCCCCAAGTGCAGGAACCTCTGTCCCCATGGAGTTGGGGTTAACCATCCCAGAAGCTGCCCTAACCCTGTCAGAGTTTTTATGGAGGTTTCATTATGTTGGGATGATTGATTAAATCATTGGTGATTGGAGTCAATCTCAAGCCCCTCTTCCTTCTCTAAGATGGGGGGAGTAAGAGGCCTGAAAGTTCCAGCCCTCCAATCAAGGCTTGGCCTTTCTAGCAACCAGCCGCCATCCTGGAGTCAACCCCTCCCTCCCCACGAGTCATATCATTACTTTAAACTCTGGATGATTGAAACGTTTATGAATAACAAAAGACATTCAAATCACCAGGAACTGAGGCAAAGACCAAATACTATATATTCTTACTATACTCCACAAGTTATTTCTTATTCAACAAAGATTTGTTCAACACTTGCCGTGTATTGGATATTGTGTTAGATATGTGAAACTTACCAACTCAGATATTTATTGTGCATCTATTGTGTCAACAAAACATACAGAAATTTCTGCCCATGTGGAGCTTATATTGTTGGGGAAGAACTCAGATAATTAAAAAACATGGAAAACTTAGCATGTCAGACAGTGATAAGCACTGTAGGGAAAGCAGATTTTGGGGATTTTTTGTTCCCTGCTTTACTGCCAACACCTGATTAGGTGTTCAGTAAGTGACAGTTAAATGAATTGAATGAACAATTAGAGCATGGACTCAGCAAAAGTAGATAACTGGCTGGGTGATGCAGTGGGAAGAGGAGTCAGAATGACAGCTGGGTTGATGAGAGTACCATGGGCAGAGGGAAGGCTATAGGAGATGGGGTTTGGGGAGATCTGCTGAGTGAGATTTTGAACACGTTGAAGTACCAGGGATGTATCCAGGTGGAGATGAGTACAGTAGGAAATACAGGATGGATGCCCAGGAGGGACATGTGGGCTGGAGATTGGTTTTGGGAGTCATTGGCTTGTAAATGGGTCGGTGAAGCCTTAGCCACAGTGAAATCGGGCAGGGAGTCTCCTTGGTAAGTGGTCATTTAGTCTCTGCCTATAGACTACCCATGAAGAAAACTCGATAGGCAGCTTGCTAACTTTTTCTTTTTTTACATAATTTCAAATTAACAAGGAATTGCAAAAGTAAAAACAGTACAAAGAATACTGAATATCCTTTAACAAGTTCACCTGTTGTTAACACTTTACCTTATTTATTTTATCATTTGTTTTCTCCCTCTGTCTCTAGTTCTCTTTTTCATATATGTTTTTATTTTCTGCACCGTGTGAGGGTGAGTTGTACACACCATGGCCATTTACCCCCAATACTTCAGTGTGTGCTATAGGGCTATTCTCTCACACTAGCACAGTGCTGGTATTGGCTGCCACATTTTACATTGATGTTATAACCTGCTGTCATCTAATAATGTCCTTTATAGCATCATTTTTCCTCTTCTAGTGTTAGGTTTTATTCTAGAGTTAGAAATTGCCTTTGGTTGTCATGTGTCTTCTGCTAATCTGGAATATTTTTAGTTTGTCTTTCACGATGTTGACGTTTTTGAAGAATGTCTCATTTTGTGATTTTGATGTTTCCTTGTGATTAGACAGAGGTTATGCATGCTTATCAGGAATGCTGCCCAGATGATGCTTGGCTCATCTCAGAGCATTCCATCTGGAGACACATGAGGTCCATCTGTCCCTCCGTCATGTTAATTTTTATCACCTGGTCAAAATGCTGCCAAATTTCTCTACTGTATAATTACTGTGTTTTAATTTTTTCCCTTGCAACCAATAAGCATTCTCTGGGGGAGGCACTTTGTTATTTTTTTTTTTGACCGGTAAGGGGATTGTCTGCACGATGCTCAGCCAGTGAGCACACTGGCCATCCCTATATAGGATCTGAACCCACGGCCTCGGCGCTATCAGCGCCTTACTCCCCATGGGGCCGGCCATTTTTTTTGGGGGGGGGGAGGTACTTTGAGACAGTGCAAATATCCTCTTCCTCATCGGAACTCTTGCCTAGATTTAGCCTCGATTGGTGATTCTTGCCTAACCCAGTCTTTACCATGATAGTTGCAAAAATGGTGATTTTCCACCTCCAGCACTCCAGCCACAGTCAGCCCTTGGCATTGTACTGAATGCAGACCTTCCCTCTCCACCATTTATTTACTTATTTATTATTAGTATAGACCCATGAATTCCTGTTTCTTTCCCAATGGTTTATTATTCATTGCTGTACTTAATTATTTGGGTGCTCATATTGTCCTAGCTTTGGCCAGTGGGAACCCTTTCAAGCTGGCCACTGTGTGCTTGTGACATACCTCCATCATTTTTTGAACACTTCTTTACTCTCTGGTGAACAGGTTTTTCCTGGCTCATCTCATGCTTACCATGTCCCAGTTCTGGAATCAGCCACTTCCTTGAGGGGCCCAAGTTCCTCTCAGTGAGGAATGGTATAAGAGACTAAGATCTGGGCACTGGGAGTGCCCACTGCTATTGGGATGTCTTTGCTCTTTGGGACTTTCAGTGGACAGAGCTAGGAAACATACATATGCACGTATACCAATATATGTATATATGTATGTGTGTGCCCATACATATTTATATATATTTGGGGGTACTTCAGAAAGTCTGTGGAAAAATAGAGTTGAAAGATAATAGGAATCTTTACATGAACTTTTTGACATACCCTTGTATATACATTAAAGTAGTTTCCAGTATTTTTCACTTACAAATAATCCTGCACCGAATGACCTTGTGCACGTGAATTTTCATATCGTTGGAAGTGTATCTTCAGGGTAAATTCCTAGAAGTGGAATTGCTAGGTTAAAGGGTAACTGCATATGTAGTTTTGTTAGAGATTGTCTAATTCCCCACCATAAGGATTGCACAATTAGGCATTCCTATCAGCAGTGTAAGAGAGTTCTTGTTTCCCCATAGCCTGGCCAACAGAATGTATTGTCAAGTTTTTACATTTTTGTCAATCTGGTAGGTAAGAAATGGTATCTCAGTGTAGTTTTAATTTACATTTTTCTTTTTATGAGTGCAGTTGAGCATCATATGTGTGTGTGCATGTGAACACGTGTGCATGAATTATATTTGAGTCTTTTTGCCCATTTTTCTAGGAGATGTTTAGTCTTTGTTTTTCCTCAGTTTTAAAATTTTCTTATAAAATTAGGGATGTTAGCCTTTTTTTCCTGTGCCATATGTTCTGATATTTTCCCCTAGTTTGTCATATGTTTTTTGACTTTGCTTATAGTGCTTTTTTGCCACACGGTTTATTTTAATTTTTATGTAGTAAAATTTACCAATGTTTTATTTTTATTGCCTCTTGATTTTGAGTCATAGTTAGAATGCCCTTTCCTATACTGAGCGTATTAGTCCATTTCCGTTGCTTATAACAGAAATATAAAATATCGACTATAAAATATAAAATATTGAAACTGGGTAATTTGTAAAGAAACAATATTTATTGTTTACAGTTTCGAAGGCTGGGAAGTCCAAAGTCCAAGGAACACATCTGGTGAGAGCCTTGTTGGTAGTGACTCTACACAGTGACAAAGGGTATCACATGGCGACAAAGGGTATCACATGGCAAAAAATGGTATCTCATGGCAGATGGCTTGAGCAGAGAGAGCTTCTCAGGCACTCTTCTTTAAAAGCTGTCTGAATCGGGGCCAGCCCGGTGGCGCACTGCGCTAGTGCGCCGCTTGGGAAGCGCGGAGGCGCTCCAGCCGAGGGTTCGGATCCCACATACAGACCGGTTCCCGCTCACTGGCTGAGCGAGGCGCGGGGGCAACACTGAGGGTTGCAATCCGTTGCCGGACACGGAAAAAAGACAAAAAAAAAAAAAAGCTGTCTGAACCATGCCCATCACCACCATTAAACCATCAATGGATTAATCTATTCACTAGGCATGATCCTAATACATGGATTTTGGGGGTCAGAATTCAATCCATGGCACTGAGGTTAAAGAGGATTTGCCCATGTTTTCTTGTGCTATTTGTAGAATTTAATTTTTATATTTAGATCTCTGATTTATTTGGAATTTGTTCTTATATATGGTGTGAGGAATGGATCAAATTTTATCTTTTTTCAGATGGCTACCTTGTTATATTAATACTGTGTATTTATGAGCACTTGCTTTGCCTCAGTGATCTGATGCACCATCTTTATCATAGGCTGGATTTTTATATGCAATTGATTCTATTTCTGAACTTTCTATTTTGTTCCATTGATATGTCTACTCAGGTGTCAGCACTGCACTGTTTTAATGACAGAGGCTTTGTAGTATGTTTTATTATCTGGTGGACCTAGTTCCCTTTCAGAGCTCTTTCTCTTCATTGTTTTCCTAGCTATTCTTATATGTTTCTTTTTCCATGTTAACTTTAGGACCGACCTCCCTAGCTCCATAAAAAAACTCATTGGAATTTTTATTTATATATTTGAGTGTTTATTTTTTAAGGTGTGGTAAAATACACATAACATAAAATTTACCATGTTAACCATTATTAAGTGTACAGTTCAGAAGTATTAAGTACATTTAGATAGTTGTGCAATGAATCTTAACTCTTTTTCTCTTCCAAAACTGAAACTTTGTACCTATTAAACAACAACTCCCCATTCCTCCATCCCTAGCCCCTGGCAACCCCCATTCTACTTTCTGTCTCTATGAATGAACCTCATATAAGTGGAATCATAATATTTGTCTTTTTGTGACTAGCTTATTTCTCTTTGGTGTAATGTCCTCAAGGTTCATCATGTTATGGCATGAGTCAGAATTTCTTCTTAAGACTGAATAATATTTCATTGTATGGATACATCACATTTTGTTTATGTGCTTATTGGAATTTTTAAGTAGGGTCACATTCATTTGCTAACAATTAATTTAGAGTGAACTGACATCTTAATGTCAGTTAAGATGTTTTTCCTTCTCTTCCTTTCCCAGCCCCAGGCAACCACTAATCTACTTTTTTTCTCTATGTCTTTGCTTATTCTGGGCATTTCATATAAATGGAATCATATAATATATAGTCTCTTGTGTTTGGCTCCTTTTACTTTGTATAATGTTTTCAAGGTTTATCCATGTTATAGCATGTAGCAGTACTTCATTCCCTTTTATTACCAAATAATATTTGATTGTATGGATATACTACATTTTATTTATCCATTCATCATATGATAGACATTAGGATTGTTTTCACTCTTTGGTCATTATTAATGATGCTGCTGTGAACAGTTGTGTACAAGTTTTTGTATGGACATGTGTTTTCATTTCTCTTGGATCTGTACCTGGGAGTGTAATTGCTAGGTCATATGATAATTCTGTGTTTGATAGATTATGGGTCCTATTTTACTGCTTCTTGACATGTCTGGTAATATTTTATTGTGGATACCAGACATTGTGAGTTTTACTGTGTTGGGTACTGGTTTCGTTTATTCCTATAAATACACTTGAGCTTTGTTTTTAGATGCAGTTCATTTGATTGAAAACTGTTTGGGGCCGGCCCGGTGGCGCACTGGATAGTGCGCCGCTTGGGAAGCGCGGTGGCGCTCCCGCCCGAGGGTTCGGATCCCACATACAGACCGGTTCCCGCTCACTGGCTGAGCGAGGCGCGGGAGCAACACCGAGGGTTGCGATCCCGTTGCCGGTCCCCGGTCCGGTACGGGGGCAACACTGAGGGTTGCGATCCGTTGCCGGACACGGAAAAAAGACAAAAGACAAAAAAAAAAAAAGAAAACTGTTTGATTCTTTCAGGCTTTTTAAGGTTTGCTGGGTGGGACTGAGTAGTGCTCAATCTGGGGCTAATTATTCCCCACCCCTGAGGAAAGACCCTCCTGTGTACTCCACCCAGTGACCTGGGAATCACGAGTGTTCCAGTCTGGCTGGTGGGACCAGACGCTCTTCCCAGCCCAGGGCAGGGCACTAATACCACTAATCCTCTTGGCTGGTTCTTTCCCTGGCCTCTGCTGATTTACTCATGTTATGTGTGCATCAGTACTCAGGCGAAGACTTGGGACCCTCTGCAGATCTTTGTGTTTCTCTCTGCAGCTGTCCTTTCTGATAGCCTGTCTGTGACTCTGGCCACCCTGGAATGCCCAGACTCACAGTCCCATCTCCAACTTGGGGAGGTTTCTGGGCTCTGCCAAGATCCCTCTCCCTATGCTGCAGCCTTTTGAAAGGAAGTGCCAGACTATTTTCCAGAGGGGCTGTACCAGCAGTGAATGAGGGATACAGCTTTTCTGAATCCTCACCAGCATTTGGTGATATCACTATTTTTGATTTTAAGTCGTTCAGATTAGATGTGTAGTGATATTTCTTTCTTTCTTTCTTTCTTTCTTTCTTTTTTTTTTTTAAAGATGACCGGTAAGGGGATCTTAACGCTTGACTTGGTGTTGTCAGCACCACCCTCTCCCAAGTGAGCTAACCAGCCATCCGTATATAGGGATCTGAACCCGTGGCCTTGGTGTTATCAGCACCACACTCTCCCAAGTGAGCCATGGGCTGGCCCCTGTAGTGATATTTCATCATAGTTTTAATTTTCATTTCTTTAGTGGGTAATGTCTTTTCATGTGTTTATCCTCTGTATATCCTCTTTGGTGAAAGGTATGTGCATATCTCTGCCCATTTTCTAGGGGGATTTTTTTTAAACTGTTCACCCTTACTTTTGATTTATAGGTTTGCTGGTATAGGTTTCTTTTTTAAAAATTTTTTTATTGAGGGCCGGCCCGGTGGCGCACTGCTATAGTGCACCGCTTGGGAAGTGCGGTGGCGCTCCCGCCGAGGGTTCAGATCCCACATGCAGACCGGTTCCTGCTCACTGGCTGAGCGAGGCGCGGGAGCAACACCGAGGGCTGCGATCCCGTTGCCGGTCCTGGTCCGGTACGGGGGCGACACTGAGGGTTGCGATCCGTTGCCGGACACGGAAAAAGACAAAAAAAAAAAAAAAAAAAAATTTTTTTATTGAATCATAATTTGATTATACATATTTTTTGGGTTCAATGTTGACATGTTGATCAAATTACTAGCATATATATTGCTACAAATTGTACTTATTCTTTATGCCCCTTGTGCAATCTCTCCCCATCCCCCTCTCCCTCTGCCCTTCCCCCTCTAATTACCCTAGACTTCTTCTCTCCTTCTTAAAGAGTAATGGTTACTCTGTTGATTTGTTGCCTAGATGATCTGTCCAATGCTGAGAGGTGTGTTCAGGTCCCCCAATATTATCGTAGAGCAGATGCTTCTTCTGTCACTCTGGAATGAGCTTTGTGGAGAGAGCCCATCCTCTTTTCTTTATCTCTGCTGGTGACTCTCCTTGTGTCAATGCACTTCAGTGGCTGGCGGACCATCTGCATGGTGGTTGTGGCATCTAGCTGCTTTCGCGGCAGCTATGGTTATTGTGGTGGCTGCGGTGGGCCACCCACATGGAGGTGATATTTTTGGCATGACATGGAGGTGATATTTTTGGCATGCTCCTTGGCACTGGCCGTGTGCCTGGTTGTGGGAGGAGGGTCTGGTCCTCGGTTCCATACCTCACGGGTGGGCCCCAAGTCACTGGTGGTATGCCTGGGCTGGAACTAATTTTTTGTCCTTTGCTTACTTCTAAAATGGGGGAACTTCCTGTGAGGACCAGTACTTGAGCTGTGTGGGTTAGTTAAATTGCTGCTTTGCTGCTGCTTCGCCAGGGAAGGCTTTTTGTGCAGCTCAGGTTTTAGTGGTTGACCTTATAGGTACTTCCGGCTCTCCATAGACCCAGTGCAACTGGGTTGTGTAGAAACTCTGATCTGGGCCTGAGTCTTTTCATCAAACTGCACCCCATGCAATTCTGTATTCCTGACCAGTCTCCTCAGTGGTTCTATGCTGACTGGGGGACAGATCAGCTGTCCTTGCTGTGCCCCAGTATTCCCCGAGTGGGCCTGTCTCCCCCACGGCCCATGCTCCAAACACTTCCCATGGGAAGGGCCATGCACTGATCCCTTGCAATCACTCACTGGCCTCTGAGTGGCTCCTTTTTTTCAGTTGTTGTGGCTCCTTGCTCCTATGTGGGTCCACGGGAACTCTATTAGTGGTCTTGCTGGCCTGTGGGCCACCAAGGCCTTCTTCTCCCCTGCTGCCTCCAAGCAACTCCATCCGAAGGGTACAGCTGTGGCTTTTGCTGGCTCCTGCACTGTGCACTCATCAGCTCCAGCCTTAAGGCAGCCGTGGCACGAAATGGTCGGAGCGGTTTTTTCTTTCTTTCATTGTGGCTTCTCCCACCTTCATGCACTCTGTAGGTCTCTCCTCCTCTTCCCCTGAGCTTTAGCGGCCTCAGTTTGGCTGTTGTTGCTTTTTTATAGTTGTAAATTGGTTGATTTGTGGAAGAGAGTGATGCTGGGGACTGTCTATTCCACCATCTTGATCGGAAACCCTTTTGGTATAGATTTCTAAAGTAAACTCACTTCCTTAAGAATTTTAAAGGCACTGCCCCTTTGCTATTGAGATATTCTAAGCTGTTTGGATTAATGAACCTTCATAAGCCCTTTTTACTCCCCTTTGGAGCTTGTACATAATTCTGAAATTTCACAATAATTAATTATTTTTCAATGTGATACCTTAGCTCTTTTGGCTATGATTACAAGAAAAAATGTGATAGTAGTTAAGTTGTGTCCTTTTAATTTTATTTCTGTTATAAGCTATGGTTCCAAGAGATTAGTTTTTGGGATATAGTAATTCATAGACAAGAAATTCAAGAACATTATTAGATAGCAATACAAGTAATTTTGATACTTTATTTTTGTTTACTAGTTGGTGTTTTGTTGTCATTATTGTCTGCAAGTGCTGAGGTGTTGAAGTTTCGAACATTTGGGAATGTTCTTGCCTACTTGATTATAATTCATGACTAGCTATGTAATGTTGGTAATTTTTCTGCCATCTTGACTTATAGGTGGGAGCCTCTTTGGCCTGCTGAGCAAGAATAATCGTTTTGGTAGAAATCCAGTGGTGTTGTTGGGCATCCTGGTGCACTTTATAGCTTTTTATTTAATATTTCTCAACATGCCTGGAGATGCCCCTGTTGCTCCTGTGGACGGAACTAACAACAGTGCTTACATCAAATCCAGGTACAGTGACTGCCATTTTCCTAGTAATTTGAGGATGGGTGGGAGGTAATGGATGGCTAGGTATTTAAAGTGGAGCAGTTAATCCTCTTCAGAGAATGTGTTATCTTTATAAGGTCATCTGTCAAGTGTTAATGGAGTCAGAATGAGTTTGAAACCAATTTAGCAGTGCTTGGAAAAAAAAAAAGACTCTGTAAAGAATCTCAAGTTATTTTTGTATTGGTTGGTTTTAACCTTTTCCCCCCACTAAATCTTTTTCTTCATCTTTGAAGGAGCACATAAGTATCTGATTTGAATTTTGTACCTCTGCTTTTTTTTTTTTTTTTTTTTTTTAAAGATGACCGGTAAGGGGATCTTAACCCTTGACTTAGTGTTGTCAGCACCACACTCACCCACTGATCTAACCAGCCATCCCTATATGGGATCCGAACCCGGGGCCTTGGTGTTATCAGCACCGCACTCTCCCGAGTGAGCCATGGGCCGGCCCTGTACCTCTGCTTTTTGAGCAGTGAAATATCCAGAAATTAGGGCCTAAAGGAAAACAGAGAGGAGCAAGGGAGAATCTGCCAGCTGGTAGGCCATTCAGAGTTGTTTTTTGAGGCTACTGTTTTATTGCATTCAACTCTCAAATTCATTATAGATGCAGACATTTGTGTCAAGATCCACAAATCCAAGGGGAGCCCAGCCCAAAAAACAGTATTGGCTTCCCAAATAGTTAATAGACCAGAGTTTGTTAGAATGTGAAGGTGTGTGCATTTGAGCATAAATTCTTACTTTGTAAATTCTGGTATTAATTTATTCTTGTTTCCTAGTGTTTACAACTTGAAGGTAAAATGCTTTTGTGGGTGGGTTGCTTTTACATTTTAAATGGCTGTAGCAAATATTGGTAGTACTCATACCAAATTAATTTTTATTTTCTTCAGCAAAGAAGTTGCCATTCTCTGCAGTTTTCTGTTGGGTCTTGGAGACAGCTGCTTCAATACCCAGCTGCTTAGTATCTTAGGCTTTCTCTATTCTGAAGACAGTGCGCCGGCTTTTGCCGTCTTTAAATTTGTTCAGGTAACCACTTCAGATTGTTTAAATAGGGTCCTTTTCCTTCATGCTTTACCTTCATTTTTTTTTTTTTTTGGTTACATGTATTGAGATTTTTAAGTGAAAGTTGGGGACATCCTTTAAAAGGATTTCTGAGTAGAGTTAGGAAGCAAAGAGCAGTATGATTCCCCCCCCTCATTTGTGTAAGAGAGTTTATGTTCTGGTCTGTACGGCTCAGATTGGAGATTTCCTTCCTTAGATACCAGAATCCCATTCATTTGTAATAGACAAGTGTATTTCTCATTCTGTATGCACTTTGTTTTATTACTCCAGTTTTCCACAAAATGCTATTTTACATAGTAGAGATTGTAGATTACTAGATTGTTAACCACTGTCAACGGTAGTTACGGTGCACATTTGTGAGTTACTGATTGATGACATCATATCTAGGTGCAGAAAGGACGGGAAGCACTGCTGGTCCAGGTGTCCTTTGGGTCAGATAGCAGTGGGGCTAACTGGGAACTATTCAGTCCCCTGTGTGCATTTAGTGATTTGTTTTGTTTGTTCTTAGTCTATTTGTGCAGCCGTGGCATTTTTCTACAGCAACTACCTTCTTCTTCCCTGGCAACTCCTGGTCATGGTGATATTTGGGTTTTTTGGAACTATTTCCTTCTTCACTGTGGAATGGGAAGCTGCTGCCATTGTAGCCCGGGGCTCTGACTACCGAAGCATTTGATCAGGTGCTGATGAGGCAAGGTGTGCATCTTCTGAAAGGACAGCTGGGTGCAGAGCATGGTTGAAGATGCTGCCTCTCACTTTCATAATGTATGGGATGAGGTTCAGTATGGAAAATCAAAGTAAGGCTGTTAAATCAGCCAGAGTCGGTATTAAAGTTTACAGATATTAAAACAAATGGAATAAGGGAAACCTGTTATGTCAATTATAATTGTTCAAAAATTTTTTCCAATTCATATATCTCAAGTTCCTTATAATCATGTTATTGAATGTAAATGTTTTCTTCTTCTGTTCTTATTGAAAGATGCTGTCTTGATTCAAAATGCTAGGCTGTATGTATATAAAGATTCTTGCTGGGTATGGAATATATTTTATAACATAATAATAGGAAGTATATGCCACTCCACATGTGTATCTGGGAATGACATTTAAATAAATAGCGAGATGTTGAAATGAAATCTCAGCTTCAAAAAGATTTTTTCCTCTTTAAATATTTTGTTCAATAGGTTTTCTTACCTAGTAGTTTATAGCAAGAAATGGCCAGTTAAGTACAAATAAAAGGTAAAAATAGTCTTAAGTGTTAAAAACATGAATCTAACATATGAAAATGAACAAAAACACATTTAAAAAAATTTCCTGGGGGAGGACTTTCGCTAGTAATTTTCCTGGAAGATATAACGTAAAAAAATCCCTAAAGAAACCTGCAGTGATGTCTGAGCTGTGGTGGCAGAGTGTGGTCATTTATGTATCCTCTCACGGCAGTTCAGTCATCTTATGTTTGTGAACAGAATGCAGCTATGTGTATTTGGAGAGATGTTTAAATGAAAATGCTAACTTTCCTCCATAAGAGCTCACTTAAAAATTTTAGAACTGAGATATAATACAGAAACCATAAAATTCACCATTTTAAAGTGTACAATTTTTTTTTTTTTAAAAGATGACCGGTAAGGGGATCTTAACCCTTGACTTGGTGTTGTCAGCACCATGCTCACCCAGTGAGCGAACCGGCCATCCCTATATGGGATCCGAACCTGGGGCCTTGGTGTTATCAGCACCGCACTCTCCCGAGTGAGCCACGGGCCGGCCCCTAAAGTGTACAATTTAATGTCTTTTTTGTATATTCACAAGTTGGTACCACCACCATCATTATCTAATTCCAGAACACTTTTATCTCCCCCAAAAGAAAACCCCCTGCCTGCTAGTAATCACTCCCTCTGCTCTGGCACGGTGGCCACTAGCCTACTTTCTGTCTCTGGATTTGCCTACTCTGGACATTTCAGATAAATGGGACAGCTCACTTTTAGATGTGATATTTAACTTACAATTGAAGAGTTTTATGGCAAAGTAAATTCAGCCCAGAGGACAAACAATACCTTGTTTTTTACTCTTTTTTAAAATCCTGCTAAAAACTTAGTAATTTGATAGTTGGCTTGCAAATCTAAAATATGATAGAGGGTGATTTTCACATATTTGATGGCAAGTGGAGAGAGTCCAAGAACTGGAGTTAACTAGGCTCTTAAGAGAAATTTCATTTGTGTGGAGCACTAAACTCCCGCTCCAGGTTGCGAGGCTTTGGTTTTCTTTCTTGAAGTTGACATAACCTCACGTGGTCTAGTTGATCCTACATAAATAATTTATAAATGCTGTTTTAGACTTAACACAAGTGATTTATTATCTCTTCAAGCACATTATTTACCCAGGTGTATTAGTTTTCTAATATGGTATAACAAATTACCTCAAAACCTAGCCACTTAAAACAACTCACCTCTTTTAGTCACAGTTCCTGTGAGTCAGGAACCTGGGTGTGGCTGAGCTAGACCCTCGGCTGAGGGTCTCCTAAGGCTGCAGTCCAGGTGGCTGGAGGCTGGGCTCCACTGGGGGATGACCCACCTCTCAGTTCCCTCATGCGCTGTTGGCAGGGGTCAGTTCCTCACATGCTGTTGGACTAAGGGTCTTAGTTTCTTGTGGCTCTTGGCTGAAGACCACCTCTGTTTGTTGTCACATGGTGCTGTCCCCAGGGCAGCTCATAACACAGCAGCTGTGTTCATCAAAGAAAGCAAGCGAGAAAAGCCAAAGACCACAAGACAGAACTCACCATCATTTCTACTTCATCTTGAAAGTGACATCCCATTCCTTCTGCTACATCCTATTTGTTAGATGCAAGTGACTGGTTCCAGGCTACCCTCGGGGGAGGGGATTATGCAAGGGTGTGAGTACTAGGAGGGGTTCCTTGGGGACCATCTTATAAGGCTGCCTGTCACACCAAGACTTACACGTTAGGTGAGAACTGGCCGTACATTCCCAAGTCTCTCGTTCTCCTAGGCTTGTGCTCCACTTGCTGATAATGAATCTGTAAAACTATGCTGGCAGAAAGAGGTTAAGTAGCCTCTGCTAAAGACACTGAGTATTTTATTTTTTTCTTTCTTTTCTTTTATTGATTTTATTTTATTTTTTGGTGATTGGCTGGTGTGGGGATCTAAACCCTTGACCTTGTTGTTACAAGGCTGTGCTCTAACCAACTGATTTTAATTCAAGGAGGCCATGACGTCTTATCAGCACTTGTAGGATTCCTGGCGGATACTGTCAAAAGGCAAATGAAACAGAGTGAGGTGCTCCACGAGGAGGTCAGAAACCCGGCTTCTCCCAGGCTGCCTCCCAGTTGCTGTGCACCACGTTATTCATTTTAAGTTCTGTGCACATTTTTTTCTTTTGTGGGGGTGGGGGCAGTGTTTTACTTGGTTTTTGTGTCTATAAATGTTGATCTTGGCGGGCTGTTTAGTTGACTGGATAACATTAAGGTCGTCTTTTAAATTCTCAGCATTAGTTGAGTTAAAACTGAAATGCGACAGTGAAATAAAGAGTTTAATGATCATGCTTGTCTTTGTATACTGTGTGGAATGATTTTATCTTCATACCTTGGGCTAAGTAAAAGCCTTAGCTTGTGTCACGTGGGTGTATGTGTTACATATGGATGTGCTGTTCTTTTATTGCAAGTTCCTTACTGTATATATTGAAATTTGGCTTAGACCTTGAGCAGCCTTATTTTTCTCTGTGAGTATGAAGATGTCCCCCATCCCCCTGAGTTTTCCCATTTCCGAAGATTTGAAAACATTTAAACCTGCCCTATTGTTCTTCCTACAGAGGGTTTGTTTCTTCTGGGAGTTTTTTGTTTGTTTGTTTGTTTGTTTTTTAAAGATGACCAGTAAGGGGATCTTAACCCTTGACTTGGTGTTATCAGCACCACACTCTCCCTAGTGTGCTAACTGGCCATCCCTGTATGGGACCCGAACCTGTGGCCTTGGTGTTGTCAGCACCACACTCTTCCAAGTGAGCCACGGGCCGGCCCGATTCTTCTGGGAGTTTTTGTTGGTTGATTTGTTGTTTGTTGATTTACATACAGTAAATCCATTGGGAGTTTTTAAATTCTCAAAATACAAATAAGTTCCAATTAATAGTTAAAGTATTTTTGGATTCTCACACCCACTGGAATGGCTACTATAAAGAAAAAATGTTGGCAAGTATATAGAGAAACTGGAACTCTTGTGCACTGTTGGTGGGAATGTAAAGTGGTGCAGCTACTATGGAAAACATATGGCAGTTCCTCAAAAAACTAAAAATAAAATTATATCCAGTAATTCCACTTCTGGGTTTATACCCAAAAGAATGGGAAGCAGAGACTTGAAGACTAATTTGTACACCCATATTCATAGCAGCATTATTCACAACAGCCAAAAAGGAAACAACTCGAGGCGGCTTCCGGTGTAGCCATGGCAGGTAATGCTGCTACCAACCCTCCCAGCTGCTGCTGGTAGAGCTTGTGGACAAATGTGTAGGACTGAGAATTCACATGGTGATGAAGAGGGGTAAGGAAATTTTTTTTTTTTTTTTTTGTCTTTTTCCGTGTCCGGCAACGGATCGCAACCCTCAGTGTTGCCCCCGTACCGGACCGGGGACCGGCAACGGGATCGCAACCCTCGGTGCTGCTCCCGCGCCTCGCTCAGCCAGTGAGCGGGAGCCGGTCTGTATGTGGGATCCGAACCCTCGGGCGGGAGCGCCGCCGCACTTCCCAAGCGGCGCACTATCCAGTGCGCCACCGGGCCGGCCCCTGGAAATTTTTGGTATGCTTCTAGGATTTGATGACTTTGTCACTATCCTTTTAAAAGTGAAATCACACCAGAAGGAAGAAGGATTACTAAATTAGATCAGATTTTGCTAAAAGGAAATCAGGTAACAATGCTGGTTCTTAGAGGAGAAGGACCTGAAGTGTGAGTGGGATTCCTTGATTTATGCTAGATTCTGTTTTGTCTTTTAATGGCAGCAAAATATAATTTATTTTTTTACCTTTAAATGTTTTAGATCCTGTAAAACTAAGTTTCCCGTTGAAGGGAATGCTTTTTTTTTTTTTTAAGAAAATGTAATTTTATTTATATTTTTTTACATTCTAGGATGTTTTTGTGGAGCAGTTGAGAAGGAGGGGGAGAGGGGAAAGGGGAAGGAAATATGGTGGAGGAGGGGCAGGATTGAGGCCTGTGGCACCCCCCTCATTCCAGTGGAGGAGACTGGGGGAGACGGTTTCCAGCAGTGGCTTGGTCATTGTTGTGCTGGTGCAGATGTCAGGGGTGTGTGGCAAAAGCCCTCGCCCCACCCCACCCCCCCTCGGGAACCCAGGGCCCTTCTTGCTGCAGCTTGGTGGTTGCCGCTGGGCTGGCTGCGTGTGTCTAGGGTGCATGGCCGAGACCCTAGGAAGTATATATGTGTTAATCTGGTAGGCCAGGGAACAAAAACATTTCGGTAGCTCTCAAACTTGATACTCTTTGCAACGTTCTATACAAACAGTCTGCATGTGCCATGAACACCTCCCTGGTGCACCTGCTTGTGATTGTGAGTTCTCTGAGCTGCTCTTGAATCTGGAAGGCTTGATGTTCTTATCATGAGCGGTTCTGCCCTAATTCTGTGTGAACTGAGACAGATAATTGAAAGAAAAAGCTGATTGCAGCTTTAGAGAAGTCTAATCCAGGGGAGGCTCGTTTGAGCATTTCTTTTTGACTGCATTGCAATCCACAGGTGCTCTTTTTTTTTCCTTCCTTAAAATGTTGTCAGATATTCCCAATCTTCAATCTTTCTTGTTTACGTTCTAAGTCCGTTTCACTTTTGTTTTTTAGAAATTGGTTCAGTTCTCTCAATTTTACATTTTTAAAAGGGATCTTTTGGGATAATTGTCCCATGAACTGAATGTAAAATCTTGATGACTCATATTGTAGACACTGTAAGAGAACATACTGAAGAAAAAACAGATGTTTTTCTCTCCACTTTTTGTGGTTAGGACCATTCACACAAGGGAGGAGCACAGCACATGTTTCCAGCTGGCATGTTGAGTAAGGAGCCTGCTGAGTCCGCGCTGCCGGGCAGGGGCGGGGTGGGGGGGAGGGCTGTGCAGGGGTGTTGGGGCTAGCTCTAC